GGTGAGCCAAGAGCAGCACGTATGGCAGTAGCTGTAGGTGTGGCAGGAGCTGCAGGTGAGCCAGGAGCTGCAGGGGCTGCAGGTGAGGCAGGAGCAGCAGGGGCTGCAGATGAGGAAGGAGCAGCAGGTATGGCAGGAGCTGTAGGTGTGGCTCCAGCTGCAGGTGTGGCAGGGGCTGCAGGTGAAGCAGGAGCTGCAGATGGGGCAAGAGTGTCAGATGAGGAAGGAGCTGCAGGTGACATAGTTGAAGGTGCTATAGGAGTTGTGGGTATGGCAGGAGCTGCAGGTGAGGCAGGACCTCCAGAAGAAGGGGCCTGGGATGCAGCAGCAGCGACCCATCATAGAGCAGGAGCCCAGCAGTGGGATCAGGCCCTGCAGCCCATCCTGGAAAACGTGGCATACCAGGAACTGAGACCCTTTTCCGGGATTCCAGAGCAAGACCCTGAAGAAGAGTCCTTCGAGAGCTGGCTGAACCATGCGAATGACATGCTGTACCTGTGGCGCCATATATCAGAGAGGGAGAGGAGGAGGAGGCTGGTGGAGTGCTTGGAAGGCCCTGCCCTGGATGTCATTTGCGAGCTCTTGGAGGAGCACCCAGACATCCCTGTGCAGGACTGCCTGGCCATGCTGGTGCAGGTGTTTGGGAACAAGGACATCGGGGTGACCACACGGCTGAAGTTTCTGATCTGCTCACAGGGGCCTCGGGAGACGCTCTTGGCCTATGTGATGCGCCTGGAAGGCCTCCTGCAGTCGGCCGTGGAGAAGGGCGCCATCCTTCCAGCCGCCGCAGACCAGATGCGAGCCCGGCAGGTGATGATGTGGGCCAGGCCGAACTGGATTCTCCAGAACAAGCTGAGAAGGATGCAGCTGGAGAGGAGGCCCCCTGGCTTCCGGGCGCTGTTCCACCTGGTGCTGGAGACCGAGGCCTGGGAGGCAGCCTTGGCTGGGAATGAGCTGTTGGGAGGTGAGGCCACCGAGGCTGGGCCATCCCACCGAGAGGCTGCTGGGCCTGGGCCTGGGCCTGCCCCTGCTGTGGAAGATGCTTCGCAGGCCTCCCCAGCCGGGGAAGAGGCCAGTGCCCAGGCTGCTTCTGACTCTGAGTGTGCTGCTGAGGTTGCTTCTGATACCAATGATGCCACAAAGTCAACCACTCAGGAAGACGAAGAAACCTTTGGTCCTGCAGGCCTAGGCCAGGCAGGGCCCTCTGAGGCCCCTGAGGCTTCCACCTCAGCCCTGGTGTGCAGTGTTTCTGGGGCAGGTCCAGGAGGGCCTGGCTATGGGCCAGAGAGCCTCGCCCAGGCAGCAGAGCAGGGGGCTGAGGAGTTCATTCTGGAGGGGCTCAAGGCTGTCCTGGAAGAGTTGGGAAATGAAGTTGAGGATGGGGAGATGAGCCACCCCGAGTCCTCCTCAAGAGAATAGGCTCAGAATGCCCAGGGGCCTCCTCTCTGCTCAGGCGGCCGGCCCCAGTGTCAGGGGGAGGTGAGGCCAGGGCCACTGGCCAGCCCAAACCAAACTCTCATATCTTTCCACTCCCCAAAGGGCCCCTGGCCAGTACCACCTGGCCTTCCAAGTGACCCAGGCGACCATGGGTACACTAGGGAGAAGAGGCCATCTCAAGTGTGCCAGCTGCCTGGCTCTCCCCACGGGGGACCGCCCCATCACCCCTCCATTTCCTGTTCCTGTCCCTGGTGCAGACCGCTTTCTGCCCTGGGAAGCCCACTCGTATGTGTAGGGCCCATCGTGGCCCTGGGTTCAGGCGAGCGCCCATCCCCACGTCAGCCGCCGTTCTTGTGCAAAGCTTTGCGGTGTGCGCCTGTGCATGTGTGTGTGTGTGTGTGTGTGTCAGCCCCGGGCAGAGGTCCCAGCTCACCTGGCCCGCACAGCCGGCCGGCCACCTCCAGGCCTGGGCCCGTGCCGTGAGCTTCCTTCTGTGCCAGCCAAGGCTCCGCCCGCTCCTGCCCAGTGTCTGAGCTTAGCCTCTGCTTCCTCCCGCTGGATCTGGGCCAGCCGCCTGCCGCTGGTTCTCATGGAGACATGTGCGTTGTTACCTGAACAGTTCCTGTCTGGAGACCCCGGGACCCGTCCCGGGAGAAGGAGGGAAGGATGGACCGCGACGGAGTCACCCTGTGACTGTGACTGCGGCTGTGATTGGGACACGACTTTGGACAGGATGAACTGGGCCAGGGATGGAAGGAGAAGGCCGGGCCTGCTTGGGTGTTCTACTCATGCTGTTATTTGTGACTCAGTTTCTTTGGTGTGGTGGAGCATTCCTTGTGTTTTCTGGTGTCTTGGATTATCTGTGCCGGCCATCTCATAGGGCCACTCCACAGTGGGTCAGCTCCCTAGAGAGTTCCTTGAAGTGACTATGCATTGTCAGAGGCCATCATTCTGGCCAGGGGCAGATCTGGGCCCCTTGGGGAGGGACATGTCTGGAGGGCCCAGCACGGCGGGGTGGGGCGCGGATGAGACACCTTGTCAAGAGCCCTGGGGCAGGTAGGACCTGTGGCTTGTAGTGGTTGTAGCATGGTCCCATTTGTGGTGACATCCCCTTCTTTTCAATGGTTTCAGTTAATGTTTCTCTTCAATAAATTTCATCAAATGTTGCAACCAAGCTTCCTGTCTGCTATGGGAAATCAAGGGAGGGTTCAGCTGGGAATAAGAGGGGGATGAAAGGGCAGAAAAAGATCCCTGCTGAGCACCCGTGGGAGACATTGAGAATGGGAGGGTAAATGTTTCATCAAGGAGGCTGACTTGAGGAAGGCTTAACAATATTTTAGAGGTGAATGGTGAAGTTTTGAAGTTTCATTTATCTTTGAATAGGGATGGTCTTGTATGTGGGGGTTTGAAAAATGCTTGGGAGTGATGCTTGTCTCCTTGATTGGGGAAAGACACCTCTGGGATCCTGTAACAGAGGTTCAGGACTGCTGAGTGAGTAATGTGTGTGCTAGGGGTATGTGACAAAGAACAGTTTACCCGAAGGTCCGGTAGCACCCTTGGTGAGAAAGCCAGTATTAGAGTGACTAGGTTTATGCAACACCCAGTGTTATTTGGGTTATTCTAAAACTGGAAAATCTCTCTCTTTCATGACAATGACAACTTATTGAGTAACTGAAAATCTCTAGGCATTGTGGGGCTTCGGAGAGAACTGACACAAACAGGTCCCTACACTCTCCTCCTGCAAACAGGGTTCTTGCAGAGGGGAGCAGGCCAGTAAAGGAGGGGCATACAGGAGCTGGGGCAGTGCTCTCTGAAGGGGGGAAATTGAGGCAGAGAGCTGAAGATTGCATGTGAACAGAGCCACAGTTTATTAAAAACTTAAATTTTAACAAGTTTTGAGCATTAAATAATTCATTAAAGCATTTGAAACTAGAAGAGGTTCAGAGACCTCTGCTTTAGCAACATAAGCAGTGAGCTTTTATAGGTTAAATGTGGAAACAGTAAGGAAACTACTTGATTGGCTACAGCTTACATTTCCAATTGGCTAAGCTTACATTTTGTCTTACCGTTTACTTTGGGCTTTAGTTTGCCTATAAAGGCATCCAAGATAATGGCCTCCCAGTTCAGTTTTTTAGAAACAATGCTAAAGGCATGGCACATACCTTGGCCCTCAAGAAGAAGAGCTTGATATTACAGTGCTGAAAAGTGGGTTAATGAGCAGAAGATAGGGCCTTTTGGAGCCCTATGGGATGGGGAAGATTATGGTTTCATGCTGAGGACAGGGATGCTGTTGGATCATTAAGGTGGGCCTGGTGGACTCAATTCTTTTTGTTCTGAGTAGTTGGCACCTTATGAGGCCAAGTCCACCTCCGATGACAGGAGTGTAACATGTCAGGTCTGGGCTTTCCTAGCTTTCCTTGGAGCTAGGGTAAGAGCATGTAAATTTGGCCCCATCAATCAGATGCACCCACTGCTTTCCGAATGGGGGCCCAGATGGGAAGGAGCAGGGGCCCCATAGGTTACAACTGGGTGGTGACAGTGCCAGCTCCTTTCTAAGGAGCAGTGGAAGCTCTGGTTCTTGTGGCACCATCTGCTTCCTGCATGAATGGTACAAGCCACAGTATTTGTGCTCACTTGTGGGTGGGAGGCATAGAAGTGCCATTGCCAGTCCTGCACTGTGGTTTGATTTGGGCCCTTGTTCCTCTCTGGAAAGTCCCCAAGACTAGTTTTTCAGCCTCCCCATACCTGCGAGAAACTCCTTTGGTTAACTCCCTTCAGACTTCCATCAGCCACAGTGAGATATGATTGCTAATGATCCTGATGCTCCAGAGGTTTTTCTAATCATGTGCAGATAAGAGCGTCAGTGCTCACAGCAGCAGGCATCCCTATTGCAGCTCCTCCCCTGGGGCTACTCTGCTGGAGCCCAGGATTGATGCTTCAGGGCTCCTGTCTCCCCAGAGCTGTCCAAGCTTCTCCAGTCCTGTCTTCTTTAATGGCCCCATCTTACAGCAATATATCCCATTCCTGCCCCATCCTTCCCGCTTTCTGGGCCACAGTGGGGACATGGCCCCAAGCTTTTCTGTACTTTAATGCCACTTATTCCCCAGTAGCCTTCCACAGAAGCATTTCCACTTTACTCCATTTCCTGTAGTCATCATATGACCTGTTTGGGAATAATGCCCTATGCCCATCAGAGCCAGTGTCGGCAGCATCTTGTCATTTTGTTGGTCATGTCAATCTAAAAATATCAGAGATTTTCCAAAGAAAAATGAGCACATTAAAGGAGGTTGAGGCAAGGGAAAGTTTTTAAAGGTAAAAATGAGGAAAATTATCTTCGATATTTTGAAACAGAAATCTTTGACCACAATGATTAATAACTAAGGTAACATCAGTCCAAGGTTGGGTAGACAGTTGCTGGGCAGATGTCTTCACAGAAGTACTTTTTGGTAAGGTTGTAGTGGGTCCTTCGCAAGCTTGTGATCTGGGCAATCTTTTAGGATAGATACTATCAAGGAGTCACATGTAATGACCCTTCCTTCATAACCTTGCAGCTTTATGTTTTGTTAGGGTTGACACAGCAATTCTAATTCCGACAAGTTGCACATTTTTTTCACTCTACTGACCATGCAATGATCCTTCTTCTTAGTTCTCTTAGGGATTTTGGGGGAATTCCTCACTGCTTGCAGATTTGGTGGAAAGTAGGGGGCCTGTCATATCACTGAAGGAGCAGGGACCAGCCAGGAGCTGGGCATGTGGTTCAGGCTTGGAAATTGAATACCTCGCCTGGGTCTTTGAATCAGAACAGGAGTTGCCAGGTTGAGGCATGGTTGAAGACCTGGCTCCTCCTGGCAGCAGACGGTGTGCTTGCCAGCCTGCATCTGCTCTTGGCCTCTGCTTGGGTTGTGGGAGCCGGGCCCACCAGAAGCTCTTGGGGAGTTCCAGTGCTCCAAACCTGGTCCCTGGCCTCTGCCCATTCTATGAGCCCCCAGTAGCCACACAAATAATTTCCTCTATGTTTAAGGGAGCCAAAGGCTTTCTTGGTGCAAGCTGACTACTGCCTGACCACATGCTGCCTGCCCTTGTGGCTATTGTGAGGCCCTCTGAGACATTGGTCCTTTCAGAACTCTGTTAAGCCCTCAATGCCACCACCAAGTATCCTATGAGGGCAAGGCCTGTGTCTCGTTTATCTTTGTGTTGGGTATAGTAAGGTCTTCAGGGAATGTGTGTGAAGGTGACCCTACCAGTCCCAGGCTGTCCCTATCCTGTTCCCATTGCTGTGATGAAAGCCAAGAAGGAAATGACACCACGTGAGGCAAGCACACTTCCCCCAAGATTTGAGGACCCTCTTGGGCATTCCCCTGTGACCATTTCCCCAACCCTCTTCAAATGAAGAGCCTTACACATCTCACCTGGTGTCTATGTGTGCCATGGGGCCTGGAGAAATGTCATGGATTGCACATTTCATAGTGACCCCACCAATCAGTCAGTGAACAAATCCAGGGGGTAGAGAGGCCTTTCCCACCTCACAGTCATGACCAAGTTCACCACCAATCATTTCTACCACTTCACATGGGAAGTTTCTACTTCCCAAACCGCGGAGTGCATCTAACAGCAAAGCCAATCACAAGATCTCCATTTCAAGTCTGGGGTCTCACCTATGCCCCAGATCACCCTTTCTGAGAAAAGAAAAAACAACTGTGCTGCCTTCTGTCATTGCACCAGAAGGCATCTGCACAAATGCCCCAAGGCCAGTGGGGACTGAAGATCTGCTGCCCTCCTGTGGCCCAGCATGAGGCCGAATGCGTACAGGAGGTGGGGCACTAGGTCTAGGGGAAGCAGGCTGTCTTAGTTATTTTTCTCGTTGCTGAGATAAAATACCTGGCACCCGAAGTTAAAGGAGGGAAGATTTATTGTAGCTCACAGTTTGTGGAGGTTTCAGTCCATAGTCGGCTCGCTCCAAGGCAGGGCAGCAGGGCAGAGGGGCAACGCAGAGGAGAAACAGTCCATGGTGTGGCAGGCAGAAGGCGGTGGGAGCAATCCTGCCTTGTTTCTGCCCCTTTATATCCCATCCAGGCTACAAGCCTATTGATTGGTGCCACCCACACCCAGGGTAGGGCTTCCATTGTCCACACCCTTAATCCACATTCACACACCCTGCTCCAGCCACCTTTGAAACTCCCCACCTATGACTGTGTCGGGCTTTGAGGGGACACCTGAGTACAAACCATAACACAGGCCCAGGTGGGCAGGTGCTCAGCTGTGGAAGCTAAAGATGTGGGGTCCTTGGGGAACACTGCCTGGGTGGTGGGCTTTGCCTGTTATCTCTTGGAACTCAGCTGAGGGGGAGGGGTGACTCTGGTAGAGAATAAACAGCAGGGCACAATGCCCCTGCCTGAGAAGCCCTGCCAGCCACACTTAGGATCGGCACCTTTCTGCAGAGATGCTGCCATTGAAGTGCACCTGGACACAGGTAGAGGAGAGCCTGTGAGATGGCAGACGGAGGTCCTGGGATGGGGGAAGCTGGGGACAACATTGCAAAGTGTGTGTGCTTGTACGAGCAGGCACATGCGTGCGAGCATGTGGGGTGTGTGTGTTGGGCAGGGTGGCTTTACTCTCAGCTGCTCTCACCTCTGGCTAGAGTCTGAGGCTTCCAGTGGCTTTCAGTGGCTTCCATAATCCCTGTAAGCAGAAGGAAAGAGACAGCACTGGATCCAGCCCAGGGTGAGACACAAAAGCGAAGCTACTTCAACCAAGGGGTGGAGCAGACTGGTTGTTGCTGGAGCCCCATCACCAGTGCCACCCCGTGTCCTATTCCTTGAAGCTCCTAGGACATGGTGAGGACCTTCTCCACAGGCCTTGGCCGTGCCTTTCACAGTCCCTCCTCATTCTCCCTGCTGTGAGCTCCACTGGGACGCAAAGCCCACAGCAGTCTGGCTTCTTGCCCTTGTGCAGCATCTCCACTGTCCCAGCCAGCCCTGTTCACTGACGGTGCCAGAGGCAGGGCTGGTGTGGCTCACAGGGCTGTGGCTCAAAGGGGGTGAGACACCAAATCCACTGAGCGGATGGCCTTCCTCCAAGTGCAGAGCTGCCAGGTGCCCTCCTAGCCTGTGGCCCTCCTCATGCCGGCTCAT